TTAAACTTGAGTTTCCTTCGCCTTTAGAGCTTGTTGTTGATGTAGGAAAAAGTCGAAAGCACTCGCACTTATCTAACTGACAGGTGACCGGGTTGAATGTGAATTTTATCGTCTCCAGAGACCGTTGTTTTCTGGTTTTAAGGTTGAAATTGGGCTTGCTCTTCGCTTAAAAGTCGACAAACCGGGTTGCTAATTTTCATTTGTGTCCCATTTGGTAGCAGTCTTGAGACTCTGGAAGTACAGTAAATATAACAATCCTTATGTATTCTCTAATATCACATTTAATAAATGTTAGTTTAATGAAACTGCCTGTTGTAGTCTTCTTTCATTGTAGGCCCCATTCCCCCAATTTGGTCAACACTGTCCTTAAGAGCTTAATAGTGCTCCAAGTTACTGTCATTTATAGATAATAACCTGATGGAGACCAATTGGGGTTATGTAGCCTACAAGTTATATGAGACATAAATGATTGCTGTTATTCTACTAGAAATATTTACTACTGCTATTAGCTGTGTTGTTTTTTCAGTAGTCAGCTAATATCCTCTGATATTTAGGGCGTTGAGAGCTGAGATTATAGTGTCTTTACTGTGCCAGCAGCTGATTCTGTTCCCCTGTGTTTGTAGATGCTGACCATCACTCTGAAGGTGCTGACTCTCCTCTGTGGATCCCCTCAGCCTTTATCCCTGAACTTCCTCATACACTACAAAGGCAGAGGTCAGTAAAAGGCACTCTTTTGCTGCGTCCAAAATCTATAGAGCAACTGCAGTGTGTTTGCCAATTTTTTGCCTCTCTGGGGAAAATTAGGTTTAAACTGGAAGCTAGTATTTTTCTTTTGATTGTTTAGAAAACATTTGCAATAAAAAACCTTTCTTTGCATTACTGTTGTGTTGTTGGAAACACATGTAGCCCTCTGTGTTTTCAAAGTCTTTGCTATACTAAATAAATCTGGCATCTTTTACATACTGGCAACTAAGTCCTTGTGTTAATTAATGTGCATTGTCCCCTTTTTTTAATATATAAACTTCAAACCCAAAATCCAGATGTACAGCTGAAATTGTTCTAAATCATAAATAAACATAAACATAAATAAAAACGTAATTAATGAACCTGGCAGTGTTGACTGGGAACTCATTATCTTCTGAAGTGATGGAGTTAGTTGGCATTCACATTGTCACCTTGGGCAGGTGCAACCCACCTGACAAACACATACTGTGTTGCTGTGGAAACATGCTACAGATCAACATATTATGAAGTGCTAGTGTTAAATACAACTGCGAGATTTGAACTTATGTTACTTCTGGACTGTGCTGATGTCTGTGTCTGTCGGCGTTTGTATGCCTGCCCATCTGTCTCTCTGAAACTCAGCGTGAGGAGTCAGGGGAATAATCACCTGCATAATCCATTCTAGACAATTAGATAATGCTGATTAGTACACAATGGGCTACATGGGGAATGGTGGTAGTGTTGGTGGTGGGGGCACCATTAAATGACTGTGGACTGTACAGTATGCCTGTGTTTGTGTGAGGGAGAACGTTTTTTAAATGAAAACAGAAGAAGAGCTGGAGAGAAACAATGTGAAAAGTATGTACAGAAAACTTACAGAGTGTCCAAAATTGAAAGGATTCATCCTTGTGGGAAGCACAAATTTCCTCACTAAATTTCCTGGCAATCTACCTATTGGACTGTAATGGTTCTTTTGAGCAAGTGATTGTTAGCACTTTTGCCTCAAATTTTAGACAGCTTGTGGCTCTCTTTGTGAAGTTGACACGTCCACTCCTGGTCTGTAAAGATTTCCTGAAGACGTGCAGGTCAGGAAACTTTGCAAAAATTGCTTCTACTGTAGATGTGAAGATGCTTTGGTGACCTGTTCTACCTCTCGACGAGTGTTTGTGGGGAAGGCTCCAGCCCTGTGCGCGCCTTAATGGTTTTGGATGTGATGGATGGATCAGTGTTTACAAATGGACATTTTATCTAGATGGTGGTAGTGTTTCTGCACAGTTTTTTGTCAGCTGTTGACTTCTGACTCCACGCATGAGTGTGACGCAAACCCTGTTGATGCTGCAAGTTGTGGAGGATTCATGGAGAGAGACGTCAGAATGAGCCAGAGCCAGTGTTTGGTTTGTCCGTTCTGGGCTACTATAGAAACATGGCGGTTCAATATGGCGACCTCCATGGAAGGTGACGCAAGGCGTCTGTAGATATAAAACAATTTTTTGAAAGTAATAAAAACATAACAATTCTCATTTTGAGGTGATTGAAAACGAGGTTATGCATATAATATCCCATTACACACTGGAGCTTTTAAAGCTGTCTTTAAAGAGACAGTAAGGACATTTTGCTAAACAGCGACTGCTGTGGCCACAAGGGCTAATTATAGGATAATGGTACACTGAATTTTCCGTTTGTTTTTTCCCTGCTTTTCTTGCTTTATAGAAATCGTCATAAGGTGACATGAATAATAGTGAGTGGAACAGAAAAGCAGGGACATGTCTCCTGATAACGCACATTGTATTTGTTTGATTTTGGTGATGAAATCTGTGACAGTAGCACAAGTAGAGAAAAAGTGAGTGGACTAATGTCTCAAGTCATTTTTTAAATTATTATTAAAATATATTACTTAATTAATAGATTAGAATAAACCACTGAAATCACACTAACTCAACATGTGCCTCCTACCCTCAAACAAATGTCTAGTTTTATGGAAATGGTTTCTTAAATCCTGCTTGCTTCATAATAGTTTCAACCTGCTCCCTATCAGTACTCTCGTGCTGTTAAGGCTTTCATCACTGTTGTCATCGCAACCTGAGGTTGATATAGTACTGTATACAATGTTTTCTCCTTTAAATGTCCAAGACCTGCCCCTATCATGTATGGACCACATTAAAGAGGGTACCGAAATTACTCATCCTCACTCTTCTCCTCTAATATCCAGACACATGCTAAAATTAGTCACAGTGCAAATTCCAACATAAGGTTTCCCTAAAAAGAATCTATAGTGTTTGGTAATAGACTACATTGGATAATAGGATGTCTGTATGTGACCTTAATTGAGGCTTTGGGGCTGCCCTCTGGCTAACCCGCTTGTTATCAAATGCAGTTTTTGTCTTACTGGAAACCCTCCACGGATGCCAAGACCGACTGTGTCCGATTTTACAGTGTCGGATTAACGGCTGTTTGATCAAGTTCAAAGGCAGAGCTGCCCTGGATAAACTCATTTAAACAGAGCCAAAAGACAACTGGGCCAGACTGGTGTACTGTACGTGGAAAGGCTTTAAATACCAGGTCTAAGTTGGTCCAGGTCCATTCTGGGCAGTCCTGTAAATAATGTGCACCGGAGCAGGCAGTCAAAAGTAAGCAGGCAGACATTTTTATCACGCTGTAGTGGGAATATTTGTGGGGTGTTACAGTAGTAATCCTCAAGATACTTGACTTATTGATTTTGATGGCATCTTTTGAGGTAAGTGGTGTGTCTGCACTACAGTTTTGCCAGATATCAGTACACAACACGTGGCCCCCTACCTCAATGTCCATTTCCTTAGAATTTCTGTTGTAGTTAGCCCACTTCCTTTTTGTGAAAACTGCCCAGTCTTTCTGTTTATTCTATACAAGCCAATGTTGCTGCGACGGGAAAAGTAAAAGGAATCACTTCCTGTGTGTCAAGTGTTTTTTCCCCCCATCTACCAACGGATGGTTAGAATAGCAAATGTAAAATCTGATATGAGTTAAGTCAATATAGTATCACATCACCTGGCAATAGAGTGCAGACAGAAAAGCATTTTAATTTATGATAACTTAATAATTTAACTGTGTATTGTTATCGTTTTCTTTATTATACAGGGAAGTATCTATATACATATGATGGTCATTGTAGATCTGCATAAAAGTGTCAGATAAAACACCTTTTAAATATATTTAAATAAATATACTTTTGTGTGTGTGCAGGTTTATTCTTCTGGCATATGTAACTTGTATCCAGATATATGTACAGTACTCCATGTATATGTTTGCATATTGTATCTTGTCTTGACGCCTCTGTATAGGCACGGCAGCAGTAATGCTAACTACTTGATTTTAACCAGATTAAGGCAATAGTCTGCTTATTGCAACTGACATTTCATTAAGTTTATATGAGTCTTACCCGGTTAACAGACCATGGTCCCTTTAAATGTTTCTAATAACTCTGCTATGTGTATCTTGTTTGTTTCAGAGTTTTCACTGTGTGCATACACCAGATAGGTCACACAATGAACTGGATGCATTGTGGAGTTTTTATACACAAACAGCTGCATACTGTGGTTTAGATGTAAAATAATCTTTGCAGAAACCCATGCAAACAAACCCCAAAAACAAATTGTCTCCATTTTCTTTTTTCTAGTTTGTGGTGATTTGTGTCTTAAACTGTAGACTTCTGGACATCAACTGGATTAACTGGGAGGGATGTTACTTTTCTGTTTCTCCAATTTCTTTCTCTCCTCTCTCTTCTCTGTCACCTGGATGAGTTGCCTCTCCGACCACTACCTGAGGAGGTGTGAGCAATCGGATCAGTGGCATTCGCCAGTGAATGTTTACACCTGGATTTATATGCGATTAAGCATGACTGGCTAGATATCCAATCATCCAAGATGCATTTTAATGCAACGTGTAAAGTGAGTAATAAACGTATCACTCCGAGTAACTGTTATGTGTATGTGTGCAACTATGAGTGTGTGTGTGTTTGTGCTACATAACAAGTGTGTCTGTCCGCATAGCTGTCATGAATTTGTGTGTGTGTGAATCTCGATTCATATCAGTTTGAGCCTAAGTCTTTGTGCATGACTGATTGCTTTGTCTGTCTGACCACAACTGAAAAGGGATCCATCTCTCTCTTTGCCTCTCTCTCCTCCCTCTGCCTCTCTCTCCCCCTCTATCTGTTTGACTGGGTGTCTCTATCTACTCAGTTCCACCTTAAGAGAAGCTTTAGCAGCCTGTCGTGTTTGTGTTGAAGCCAACAGGCACAATATATTACAGTCTAGGGCTTGCTGCTGAAAAGCCCGCTGGATCCTCCACTGACCTGCTGTTCTTTCCTGCTTTCCTCTCGCGTTTTTTCCACATTTAGATTAAAAACAAAGCTCTCACTCTCTCTCTCTCTCTCTCCCTTCTCCCCTCCCTTCTTCTTCTTCTCCTCCTTCTTCTCCTTCTTCTTTTCTGCGGCAGCAGTCAAGGCAGAGGCTTCAGTGTGTCAGAGAGAGGGTGAAGAGAGAGGAAAAAGCTGAGAAGAACACTATTTGGACGGAGCTGAGTGTGTGTTTATGTTTGTATGTTTCGCCATTGGACGGCCGGGTGAAGGGGCATGAGGAGAGGAGTAGGAGGAGGAGAAGAGGGGAGCCTGCCTGGATGAAATGCTCTGTGTCATGTCACTACGTGTGGACCTTGACTGATCACAGGTTGAGGAAAAGGGAGAGACACTGAGAGGAAGACAAGGAGGTGGAGAGAGAGGAGGACTTGAACTGAGAACTGAGACTTTTCACTGGGAAAAGAAAACGAAGAAGGAGAAGGAGGTAAAGTCTGGTGCTCCGTGTTTATCATGACATTGTTGGATAAAGCAACCGACGGATTGAGCGCTCTTCAGTTGTGTGTCAACAGGAATTCGCCTTAGAAGACAGAGAGAGGGAGAGCTAAGGAGAAAAGAAGGAGAGAGACTCTGGAAGAGTAAAGACTGCTGTGTTCAACCCAGCTAAGGAGTGTGTGTGTGTGTGTGTGTTTGTGTGTGTGGCTGTGTAACCGGTGGAGGGCAAAGGAGTGGAGGGCCAGGGGACTAACCTGGCCATCAAACGGACTGGCAGCCTCTCCTCTCCTGGGATCATGTACCCTCAGGGCAGGCATCCGGTAAGTACCTCCTTATGTCTCTTTCTGCTGTCTATCTGACTCTGTTTCTGTCTGTCTCTCCATCTCCTTCCATGTCTGTCTCTCAACTCCAATCTCTCGCTCCTTTTCTTATGCCTCAGATTCACCATGTCACTTCTAGCTCCCTCTGTCCCCTTTTTGCTCTCTGTCTCCTCAAGCCTCTTTCTGCTTCTCTTCTCTTGTGTCATTCCTCCTTTTACTGCCTCTTGTCCTCTCCTTCTGTCTCCCTGCTTCTTGGTCTGTGCTCAAGTCTTTTCTCGTCTTTGTCTTCCTATCCTTCCTTCTGTCTTTTTCAGCCTGTCTGTGTTGTCCGCCTCTCTTGTTTAGTTATGGGGACTGTACTGTAACATGAGGAGCGAGATGTGAGGGGAGGAGGGTGTCTGGGCTAAGAGATTCCCTGTTATGTACACACACACACACACACACACCCCTCCCGCTCTGTCAGCTGCAACCAGGTGCCTTTGAGATCTTGTTGATGGTTAGCTGTGTAGGTGGCATATAACTGAATCTGCACTCTCAGCTTGTGTGTGTACATTTCTGTGTGTACTGTATATGTAGGTGTTCATTAGTGTTTCTATGTGTGAATATGTGTGACACTGTTTGTGTGGACGAACGCATGTGTGTGTTAGAATAGATCTGTCTATATTAATGTGTGTGTGTGTGTGTAAATGGTCAGTACAACTGTCCATTTGCTCATTTCTGTTGCTAAGCAAACACTTGCCCACACACAGACCAGTTAATTGATAGTTAAATTCCACTTAATTCATTTCCATTACTACTAAGAAAGGTCGTGAGTGCACAAGTACTTCCCTTTTAATACCTCCTTAAAGTCCCTTCCCTCCTTCAGTTTCATCCTTCATCAGCAGTGAGAATTTGCTGTTAATTTACCTGCCAGGGTAAAATAAAGGTTAAATATATAGAGTGAAAAGCACAGAAGGATGAATGACAGCTTAGGCTCAGTCTGGTTTAGGCCATTCGTTTCACAGGGGCCCCGGTCCGGTTGCTATAATCAGATTTGGTTGTCAGTCTCTTTGTATCTGGTACAAATGGGTCAGTGGCCACTTTGCCATGCAGCCAGCCAGCCAGCCAGCCAGCCGGCCAACCACTCAGTCAGCCAGCAAGCCAGCTAGCTATCACACAGAATTATGAATGACATTTTCACAAGAGGAAGGCATGAGGAATCAATTATATGTACAGAGAGAATGCTAATAAGCCAGCCGCTGGAATAGAAACGAGAGAGAGAGAGACGCTGAGAGAAACAAGAGAGAAGTGAAAAACAAAGGGAGAAAGTGAAAGATGTAAGAGCCAAGAAAGGGAAAAAAAGAGTGAGAAAGAATTCTTTAAAAAGGCACGGCCGGGGGTAGAAAGAGAAATGAAAATGAATGAGAGATGCAAAGGAAGAATAGAGTGTGAACATTCCTCTGTTCTCTCCTTTAGAGGCATATCAGAGAGCTTCCTGCTGCGATGTTCTGCGTTTGTGATAAAGTTCAGTCCCAGATTGAGCCAACTCCAACCGATCGATAGCTTCTATCTCTCTCCTTCTGTCTTTCTTCTGTTTTTCTCCCTCTCTGCCTTTTTTCCTTTCCTTTCTTCCTCTGCAGCCCTCCTTTGCCAGCGGAACTTTATTTCTGGTGTTGCTATGAAATGTGATCTGTGGAGAGGTGTGATGGTGCAAAGAACAATTGTGTGTGTGTGTGTGGTTACAGACTGTGTCTCTGTATGTACATATGTCTGTTTTTTTTCACAAACACAGCTGGAATATGACTTTTGTCAAACAAATTCCACTTTTTCAAAAATCATAGTTGGCTGCAAGAAAGCATCACATTAGAGAGGCTGATTTATGTTGCCAGAAAACAAAATCAGAAGCCAAACCGTAAGCACACTTGGACATTGGGAAAACACAGTATGACCTTTGGTGCATCTTGCTTTTCAGTAGTTGACTCTTAAAGGGGAACTTTAGAACTGAGATTTTTACCTTAGTCTTGATCA